GTCGCCTCGCCGTAACACCTAAGAAGGTTTTACTCACGCGGCCCGTACGATTCGGCGCTTTAGCCGTCAAAATCCATGATCACCGTTATCGGCACCACTGACAGGATGCGCGGGTGGAACCGCCTCGGGTTTTCAAAACACAACCGCGTGTTTCGGATTGGACCGGGTTATAGTGGGCGTGAATGCGAGCGTCAGCACCACGATTATCACGAGCACGGGCAGCAGCAGCAGCTCGTCCGGCGGAGGACCGACGCGCGGCAACATCGCTGGTAGCAGCAGCACCACCACCATCGCCACCACCGTTACAAGAAACACCGACGACCATGGCGCAAGAATTTGAGGATCTTTCGCTGCCGCCGCCGCCGCTTCCGCCAGATCGTCCGCGCAGACGCCGCTTCTCCGCTTCTGTGTTAAATTCGCGCCCGCCGCTGAACTCGTGGCGCAACTTTGGGGGCCTCCTGTCGCCGCTTCCGCCAGGGTCGCATCCGCGCAATTGTCTTCGCGGAAGCTGGCGCACGGAGCGGCGGAACCATGCGCCGAGGGCTCGCGCATCAGTAGGCGACTCAAACTCCGCTGCGATCCGCTGCCCTCGCTCCGTCGAGCCGACAATCCCGCGAAATCATCCGATCGATTTCCGATTATGCTACCAGCAGCAGCGGCGGATGCTCGGCTTCTAATGTGCGACCCGGAGCCGCACTCCCGCCAGCTTCCGTATCCCTCAGTTCTAAGACCGTCCGCCTTCGCGCTAAAATGACCGAACGCGGCGCCTCTGCGATCCGAACGAATCGAAGAGGGCTGCGTGAAGTGCGGAAGCTCTTGAAGCTCAGGAGCAGCTCTGGTGCTGACGCGTGCATGAGAGGCGACATACGCGTTAGAAGCCGCGTTTCCATGATTAGGGTGGACATAGTTTCTCGAGCAACTTCCCAACTCCAATCCCCAACGCCACGTAATCGACATTTCTTCATAGCATCAGCTCAGCACCATCGACCAGATTGTAGTAATCTTAAGACTCAGTTTTCTCGATCTTTATGTTGTAGACACGACAGCCCCCTTGCCTTTCATTTCCAGCGCTTGACTAGCAGTGTTCAATTTTCAGAGGACGAAATCTCAGCCGTTCGCGAAATGTGTATATCCAACACACCATTGTCGTCAGCAGCCCCAACTCTCAACGACCACACGCGGCGCGTCTTGGAGGATCCACGTGACTTTATCTCCGCGTTTCACGACGGTTCCAGGGACTCATCTCCCGGTAGCTCCATGCACGGCGGAGTTAGCGGAAAATCGATGCTGTCGCACGCGCTGTCGCACACGCCGGCGCACACACTGTCGCCGCCGAATCTCAGTCCCCATTCGCCGATGCAAGGTGAGCCAATCATACTCCCCCGTAGCCGAAGTCGGATTGGAGAATGCCGCACTCGCAATAGTGCCCCACATGTTCTCTCCGTACTCCTCCGCTGCTGCCTTGGGGTTCTCCTCATCCTTGTGCTGCTTCTTGGCTGCTGCACCACTCTCCTCTTGTTCACCGAGCTTGCTGGTCCCTCCAAGATTGCACTTCTTGGACACAATCTCCTTAGCACGACCGTTCGCGCCATCGCCGCTACCAACCGCTTCACCCTTGGTGCCGATGCTTGCTGCCACTTGCCTCTCCTTAGGCATGGGGACCACAGGGATCTGCCACATCTCGTTGTAGACGGCGAGATATGACCATGCGTGCACTGCAGATGGAAAACGAGAGACTGTGCTCTGCTAAACGAAGAACTTTAGAACGGCCAACGAGATTGCGGAGATGGAATGGAATGGAAGCCATGGCCTTGAGCACGTGGAAGGTGAGAAGAACTGTTCTGAAGTGGAGCTTGTGCAGCGTCAGTTGAGTTGAAAAGCGTAAACAAAAGTACGTTTTGTGGGATTCAAAGGCTTTTGATACGGTGATGCGAGTATGATGGCTTTCATGTTCCTTTGATGCGCTGGATGTTGCCATCGATGTGCGCTGTACTTGGGGAACGCGCGTACACTGTTGCGCGTGGTACCGCCCTTGGGGTGCCTTTTGGTGGGAGAGCGGGTGCGGCGGTGGCTCGCCCCGCCAGACTGTGCCACCCAGCTCTCCCCTGCACAACCACGAGCGTAACACGAGCACAAATGAAGCGGGCCACGGTCTGCGATTTTGACGAAAGTGAGCGCACTGTATACAGAACATCGCGGGGCATTTGGGAATTTGGGAAACTGTTATGAAGATGGTGGGAGGTGGATGTACAAATGGTTGGATGTAGTTCGAAGCTCAAAGGTCTTGGAGAGTTGGGCACATTCTGCTGAAACCGACTGGAGTTGTGCGACTTTGAAGGGACCTTTTAGGTCACGGTTCTGGGCGAAGCTTGGACACCATCAACCAAAATTTTCCCTCAGTGACGTGTAAACACACCCGATCATTGGTCATTGCACAAGTTGCAAGAAATCTTGGAGCATGACAGCCAATCAGACGTGTTCATTGCTACCAAAGTGTCCACACTTCAGATGGTGTCCAGACTTCAGAACCGGATCTTAGTCTTGTACTGTAACGCAGAAAGGAAGGAACCACTGCTCGTGCTATTTCTTCCACAAAGCACGAACGCGTGTCATGGCATCATTGGTTGCAGTCATGCCTTGGCATGATGTCGAATGAGTTTCCGCCGTCGCTCTTACCCCCCCCACAGTCGGGAGTCTCAACGATGGCGGAATGAGGGGAGGGGAGGGGAGGGGAGGGAAGGAAGCCAAATTCACGAGGAAGTGATGGATGCTGTTGGCTTGCACCGCCAAATTCCTGCAGAACGCGCAAGAGAGTGGGCGAGAAAACATATGGATGGACACGTCAGATAAGCACTGCACTTCGACACACAACTTTAAAAAACAACAGACTGGGCTGCGGTTCTGCAACAGTTCATCCGTTGGTTCGAGCACAGATCATCGCATCTCCAACATTTTTTTTAACAGTAAAATAGTTCCCACGGGTGCTGAAAACACCCACAAAGCGTTGCGAACATGTTCCGAACTCTCTGCTTCAGCAATTCATAACTGATTTCCACAGCAAACGACACCATTTTTTGGAGTAGATCGCTAAGATTGTGCGAAACAAAACAAGGTCTGATGGTAACTTTTGCCTGGACCACCACAAGTTAAACACACCTCCCAACCACTTTATAGAAAGCACTGTGGCGTACCAAGCAGGATACGGCCAGTCCAATTAGCACGCAGAATTGCTGCCAGCTAGATCAAGATGGGTCATCCATACGGGCGAATCTGCGAATTCCGCTGCACTTGCAGCATCTCGGTCACGTGATGTGCAACCCCAAGATATGGCTTGCTCACTTTCTTCGAGATTTCTGTGCACTGTACCAGCTGGGCGAATGCTCCTACAGTGTCTCAATCATCTCAAACCTGCTCAATTCAGGGGCTGGAACCCCCTCCAAACTACAGTTCCTCCAATTTTAGATAGCCAAAAGAAATCCGAGGAAACGAAATTTTTATACCTACTATCAAAGGCTTCAAAATAATTGCAGGTGGCTCCTCATTTTGTGAACATGATGAGGCTGTATCACGTAAGACCATCCAAATATAGGCCTTCCATCAATGAAAAGAATTTTGCTCATAATTCCTTCTACATTACGCTATATACAGCTCTGCACGTAAGACCTCCCCCCCCCCCCCCCCCCCCCACCCCCCCGCACAGATGCTTACCACGATGACATTATTCCATATATGGGTTGCATGCTACTACTGTACATGTATCCTGTGTAACTGTGTCCTGAGACCACCTCTGTAACTGCCTGTTTTGCCTCCTCTAACCGCCTCTTGTACCTGCCTCTTGTAACTGCCTCCTGTAAGTGCTTCCTGCAAGTGCCTCCTGTAACTGCCTTCTGTAACCGCCTCCTGTAACTGCCTTCTGTAACTGCCTCCTGTAACCGTCAAATGTAACTGCCTCCTGTAACTGCCTTCCGTAACTGCCTCCTGTAACCGCCTTCTGTAACTTCCTTCTGTAACTGCCTCCTGTATGACAGCTGTAACTGCCTTCTGTAACTGCCTCTTGTAACTGCATTCTGTAACTGCCTCCTGTAACCTCCTGCAAGTGCCTCATGTAACCGCCTTCTGTAACCGCCTCCTGTAAATGCCTTCTGTAACTGCCCCTCGTAACTGCCTCTTTTCTGTAACTGCCTTCTGTAACCCCCCCCATGCTTCATCCTTTCCAATACCCATTGCCTCCACGGAAGCCTTTGCCCTCCTCTACCATTCTCACTCTTCTATCCAACACCCAAACCCAACATACCCAACATCAGCGCTGTTGAAAAAACCTGAGTCGCTTTTGAGAATTCTCAAAAGCAACCCCATATACACACATGCATCCTCAATTCATGTCTGCATCAGCTCTCGACCCAGTCAGCCCACGGCTATTCTTCTCCCCCACCCGCTCCTCGCCCACTGTTAGCCTGCTTCTTCCTCTTCTTATTACCCTCATCCTCCCAACCACGGCACCCCAGTCTCGATCCTGTCAGCCCGTGGGTATTCTTGTCCCCAACCCCTTACCCTTTTCCCTGTTTCTTCCTCTTCTTATTCCCCACATCCTCCTACCCCGGGGTACCCTAATCTCAACCCTGTCAGCCCATGATTATTCTTGCCCCACACCCCTTACCCTGCGCCTCCACCCACCCTCTTCCCCTGCTTCTTCCTCTTCTTATTCCCCTCATCCTCCCACCTACGGCACCACAGTCTCAGTCATGTCAGCCCATGGTTACTCTTTCCCCCCCCACCCCCCCTACCCTTTTCCCTGCTTCTTCCTCTTCCTGTTCCCCCCATCCTCCAATCCCCAACTCCCTAATCTCGACCCTGTCAGCCCATGAACATTCTTGCCCACCCCCCCACCCCTTACCCTGCTCCTCCACCCACCCTCTTTCCCTGCTTCTTCCTCTTCTTCTTCCCCTCGTCCTCCCATCCCCCGCACTTCAACTTCGATCCACTCTTTTTGAGATCAGCCCCTACCCTGCTCCTCCTCCCCCCCTCGTTCCTTTCTTCTTCCTCTTCTTCTTCCCCTCATCCTCCCACCCCGGGCACTTCAATTTCGATCCTGTCAGCCCGAAAATGTCCACATGTGCATCGAGCTGCGCCAATCGCAGCTGGACACGTGGCAGGCGGGTGCACTGCAGGCAGAGGAGGAACCACATGTTCCTCTCTGCATGCAGATTCGATACAAGCAACTTCTTACCAGGAGTACACGCTCCCAAAAGCTTCCGTTTCGCAGAGGGAGCGTTGGGAGGGGTAGAGACGGGAGGCAGCTTGGCGTGCCGGGCTATGAACTCGCCCTTGCCTCCGCAGGTCCTGCAGGCATGGCGGAAGAAGAGCGAGCGCCACTGGGTGGGAGAGGGGGGAGCAAGGGGGGAGAGCAAGGGGAAGTGTGAGAGAGATTGGGGAAGTGAGCGGAGAGGGGGGACAACAGGGCGGAAAACCCAGGAGGAGTCAGGGGGGCGGGGAAGGGACGAGCTCTCATGCTGAAGATTTTACAGCAGGGTAAGCGAGAAATGGTAGGGTTACCAGAAAAAAAACAAAGAGAATTACGGGGAAGTGGGGATGAGAGAGGGAGGAAGTGAGGATGTGAGTGAGGGAGTGAGTGAGGGAGTGAGGGAGGGAGTGAGGGAGAGCTCACAGGATGGAAGTAGGAAAGCTCTGTCTGCTCTGCCCTCGAGGTCGTCTTGGTGGTTTCCACCCTTTCTTTAAGTCGACTCAGACATAGGCTCAATAGCACGCGATTTAGATGCTAAGAAGTTGTTTGCTGCTCACAGGTCGGAAGGAGGAGAGCTCTGTCTGCCCTCGAGGTCGTCTCGGTGGTTTCCACCCTTTCCTCTCGCACTCCCTCTGAAACAGATGCTCGCTCGCATGCGACCAGAACCGACACACCTGGGGGGATAGGGGGACAAGAAAGGACAAGGAAAGAGAATGGGAAAGGTACCTTCACATCCTTACCTCTAAGGAATTAACACGCTGGTTCGCTCATCGGCTGTTTTGCTTTATTCCTTCTCGCTCTCATCTTTCCCTCGCGCTCGCTCTACCTTTCCTTCTCGCTAGCTCTACCCTTCGTTTATAGAAGCACCGGGGACGAAAAGGGTGAGAGCGAGAAGGGCAGAAGGGATGTAAAGCGCTTTCAACTTGGCAGGTGACGCGATCGCGAATTAGGGTTACCACCTTGACGGGCCTCGCTGACGAAAGAGGGTACCTGCGACGCGGCGAGGATAGTTTTAAACGGCAGTTTCGCGAAGATCGCGGACAGAAGATCGATGTCGCGACGCTCAGTCAACTCGTGGAGCACGTGCGGGGGATCCTGAGGTTCCGCCATCTGCGGCGATTGCTGATCGTTACTGCACGCGATTAGTCGCACTTACGACGACAGTCTAGGGAGCCATGGGGAAGCGTATATGTGACGGCTTGAAAACCACCAATACAGACAAGACACCAGAAAAATGAAATGGAGGGAGGCAACGTGACACACAAGGGGCGACACACGATTTGATTATGCGGTTTCGTAAGACGATGTGCGTTTTAGAATGTTTGGTTGCTCTCGTGTACGGTATTGAGCGTTTTTAAAGCATCTTCAAAAGTCGTGAGTGATAGAAAGCTCCGTACGCGGTATAATTACATATCAGTCGCGGTTCTAGAAGTTCCATGCAAAAAGCGGGGAGTTACTGGGATATATATGTAAGATCACACTTAACACACACCGCATCACATTGTCTGAAACTTCAGCACACATTATATATGTGGAGCCTGTCATCCTACCTGAAGATTATAGAAGATTTAACAGGTGCACTTTTTTTAGGGGCCAAATAAGTGCTGGAACCTCAGAATTAATCAAATGATGCAAGCATTGTTTCGTCAAATTGGTACAACCTCTTGCATTACATCCAAAGACACTCCTTCCACTTCTCAACAAATTCCATCCGATTTCCCTCCTTGAGCGGCCTTGGAAAAACAAATACTACCTTGTTCACATCCCCAGGCACAGTCGATTCAAACATCTGCCCGACAGGAAAAGAATTCCTCAGCTGCCCGAGGAAAGATTGATATGTAGAAGCTGCCCAAGGAACAACATTTATAGCAAGAAGCCCGTCCGGTCGTATTACTGTAGCAAGTGAGCGGAGAAAACGAGGTGTAGTGAACTCTTGGGGGGGTGCGTTGAGACCAGAGCGAGGGTCCCAAGAGTCTATATCGAGGATAACTACATGGAATTGGAGAGGGGATGGTGTAGAAGGTGCGAAGTAGGAAACTCTTGGGGAACGCTGCTGCTGGTGATGCTGCTGCTTGACCTGCTCTACCTCTTGCTTCTCCAGTCCCTCTTGCCCAATCTTCTCCTCGCATCTTGCCAAACGCAACTTGGGTCGCTTCGATTCAAATCCTGCTGCTCTTTGAATCCGGGCTGCCAGTCTCACTACATATTGCCTAGCATCCCCAATATGCACACGAATGTCTCCTTCTATTCCTCCAAGTGCCCTTCTCCCTTCCCCTCTTGCCACCATTCTCTCTCCCCTTGCTTACCTCCCTCCCCATTCGCATCTGCCTCTCTCCCCTCCTCCTCCTCGCACGTTCCTCCCTCCATTTAAGTCGCATTCCTCCATGCCCAACGCCTGATGAGGCCATGCTCGCATCAGGCCTGCCCTTCCTCTCTTCTGACCCATCCAACGCCCGGCTCTTTGGGCTCGCTAGCCGGGCATTGGATGGCCTCCACACCTTCCTCTCTTTTTCCGAGTCATCCAGCCCCCGGCTCGCGAGCCCAAAGAGCCTCTGTGCCACGCAGTGCATGAGCGCATCGATTTCCACCACCTGATGGGGTGGACGAGTGGGGCGGGAGGAGGGGGTTCTTGAGGGGAGTGAGGAGAGAAAAAGGGATTAGGGTTTGATCTTATTAGCCTCTGTGCCACAAGGTGCATGAGCGCATCGATTGCCACCACCTGGTGGGGTGGAGGGGTGAGAGTGAGGGGGGGGATGAGGAGTGGGGAGTGCGGAGCGAGGAGGAGGAACGGGTTTGATCCCAGTAGATTCTGTGTCAGGTTGATGTGCAATACACCCGATCTACTCGACTTGCCTGAATGTGGTAGTCCGGTCGGTGCGCGTTCAGGTACATGGGCAGAGTGAACGCCCCTCCTCCTAACACCAGCACTCGCACTCCCTCTCTCCTCCCCCCCTCCCCTGTGTCTCTCTCTAAGGCCGGCTGGTCTCTCCCCTCCTCCCCCCCTCCCCTCCTCCCTCTCTCTCTTTCCTCAGCCACTCCTCTCTCTGAAAGGAGCTGGACTCTCCCCTCCAAAGCAGGGGCGGCGAGAGGGAACCCGCCGAGGATAGGAGGGAGGTACTTGTGGGTGAGATGTGAGTAGTCTGGATCCAGGTGGTGATTAAGATGGGGGGGGATGGGAGGAGGAGGATGACGAGGATGAGTGGTACAGGATGTGACTATAGAGGGAGGGACTTGTGTTTTTTGAGGTGTATCAGGGGTAGCCCATGTTGTGACTATACGGAGCGGGACTTCTGATTGGATAAGGTTGGGGAGGCGTCGGAATCGCAGCCGGCGGCGTAACACTACAGGGATCATTGGGTTTGCAGTAACAGGGTTACCATCACCAGTCGTTGAACCACCACCTATAGGGTTGGCCCCGTTACTAGGGTTACCACGTCCAGTAGGGTTACGACCTCCAATAGGGTTTACACTTCTAATAGAGTTACCACCACCATTCGCTGCCAGTGCTACATCCTCCACTAACAACGGCCCAGTGAGTCCAGTACTAGGGTTACCAGCACCACTAGGGTTACCAGCACCAGTTGAGTTACCACGAACATCCGCTGCCAGTGCTACATCCTCCACAAGCAATGGTCCAGTGAGCCTAGAGCGCGCCACCAGACGAACCTTCCTAGCAATTACATCGTCCTGGAAAACGAGCCATGGGATGAGGGAAGTCGAGGAGGTGGGTGGTGCGTGTGAATGAAGCGAGAGTGGTGGGTGTGACTCAAATGAAAGTGGTGGTGTGTGTGAGTGAATGGGGAGAGGAGGAAGAAAGGAGGAGGGGGCACGAGAGTGGGATTGGGGGGAAGCAGCAGAGTGGGGTGGATCAGACGCATGGGATTGCGGGGAAGGGAAGAGGCTTCGAGGGGCAAGCGCTGTGAGGAGATGGGCCAATGCAGCCTTGATCGCACCATCACTATTGCAGTTCTCATGCCTATCACCATGCCTATCACCATGCCTATCACCATGCCTATCGCCATGCCTATCAGCATGCCTATCACCACCACCAGTGCTGTCACTGTCAATGCCACCACACCGCCTCATGAACAGCAAAGGCTCTTCTGGCGAGACAGTAATTGGAGAAGAATCAGCGTTTTTCTGTGGATCCGTATTGACTCGCTTGGCTCGGCATTCCCAAGGGAAGTCGTCACTGTTGTTGTTACAGTTACTGTTGCTGTTCCTGCCGTCCCGTGCCTTGCCCTCACATACTGCCAAAAGCTCCCACTTGCTGCCGCCCGGGCCAATCCAGTCCGGATCAGATCTCCGTGGCAGTCTGCAGATACTACTGCTGCTGCCAGTGGTAACTCCAGAAATCAGATCTGATTCGATTCTAAAGCTACTAGACTTCCGGCGCTTCACACAAGTTTTCCTGTCTCTCCCAACCGTCCCTTCCCTTTCCGGCGTTACGCCATGTGCTGTCAGCACGCTCCTGCCCTCTCTGAAGAAAGGACGGAGCAGCTTCCTTTGGAGGCATCGCGATAGAAATGGCCGGAATCTAGACCTGGCAGCCATGGCTGCTGCAGAAGACACGGGCTGTTTGCGCTGAGATTGCATGAACATAGGAACAGTTGCGCTGGAGGCGGCGCGAGCGGAGCTGGCCGCGCGGTTCCGTCTTGTGACAATAACGAGTCTTCTCGTATTGGCACTCCGAAGCAGCTGCCACTGCCCGCCTGCTGACGTGTACACCCAATCTCTCTCGCTGCCACGTGGCACGAGCATGGCTGCGTGGAGGTGAGTATACCGAGGTGGATCCGTGTCGCCTTCGTTTATATCACCTTCGCCATCGGGAGCATCCAAAACGGTGACTGTAACGAGCGTTTCCCCGTCAGACCCACTCCGACCTTCTAACGGGTACATGAACACTTTCCGCCTTCCCGGATGGAAACCCTCGAATTCGTCCTCTTGGCTCCCTCTCGCTACAGCCACATCCGTTTCCATCGCAGCAGTACACGCATTCGAATCCAGGACGGTGCGCACACGCACTCGCACAAGCTTTCCAGTCCTTTCACGGTTCGGCGCCTTGCTAGTGTACCCGCTTCAACACGTCTCGACACGCACTCGCAATCAGGTTCTAATGAGAGCTGTTCGGTAGAAGAAAGAAAGAAAGAAGAAATCGTAACAATGGGATACTGAATTCATAGCGTAATAGTGACGCTTTTGGAGATTCCGCGAAGCGGCAAAGGCGGTATGCTTTCTGTGAGATGCCTGCCTGTGAACGCAGTGCTGACCACTGTCACTGCACTCAATACAATCTAATATTGTAAGTGGTTATGTTTCCGATAATCATGGTTTCATTTCTGATCCTCGCATGCGGTTTAATGGGTTTCTTCACTTTCAGACTCGGTTCAAATACGTACCACTGATGCATACATGGCAACTCATTTCCCTCCCACTTCAACAACAACCTGTAATGTAATCTCAATGTTATATCTATCAATTGACACACTCTTTTAACTTTAATTGAAGCACCCTCTGCCCGAACATTTTGTGAACAACCTTTTCCAGCCATCCACCAACTTCACTGACAGCCTATCAGGATTCTAGTCTGGTCCCCAGCACTCTTATTAGGTATCCTTCACCAGATTATCGATTTCCCAAATGTCAGCATTATTGTCATCGTCGCTCGGCGAAGTTAGTAGAATCGGTTGAAATCGTCGTCGTCACTAATCGATTCGAAAGCAGTCGTCAACGTCGCCAGGCGAGTCAGTAACAATCGCTCAGCGCGCTCGTCGATGGTGCTGCTGCTGCGATGGACGACGGCGGCGCTGCGAAATCTTACCGTCCGTCCACGTCAGCACCGCGAAGCCGCCACGTTACCTTCTGGCTTATCCAAGCCATACTGGGAATCGCCCTGGTCGCCTGGGTCTCTCGCTCCCTCCTCTCCTCCTCCCTCCTCTCATTCTCCTGCGATCTCTCGGTAAGATTCGGCATATCCTTTTTTATCGCTCTGTTCGCCGGCGTCTCTCGATCGCTCCTCTCCTCCTCCCTCCTCTCATTCTCCTGCGATCTCTCGGTGAGCATCTGGTGTATTTTCCTATCCTCTCCCCCCACTCCCTGCTCTCCTCCCCTCCTCCTCCTGCCTCTCCTTCTCCTGCCATCTATCGGTGAGAATCTGTCGTATTTTCCATTCCCGTTTCCATTCTCTCGATTCCTTCTCTCCTCCTCCATCCTCTCATTCTCCTGTGACCTGTGGGTGTGAATCCGCCGTTTTTTTCCATTTCCATACCTCTCCTCCTCTCCTCCTCCCCTCCTCTCCACCTCTCCTCCTCTCCTCCTCTCCACCTCTCCTCCTCTCCTCCTCTCCACCCCTCCTCCTCTCCTCCTCTCCTCCTTCATCTCCGTTTGAGGCGACTTAACCCTCCCCCTCTCTTTCCACCTCCCTCTCCTTTTCTCCGCTCTCTCCTTTTCCACCCCTCTCTTTCCACCTCCCTCTCCTTTTCTCCGCTCTCTCCTTTTCCACCCCTCTCTATCTCAACCTCCTCTCCTGTTCACTCCTCACTGCTCTTCACACACACCCCTCGTCCATACCACCATCAGGATCACATCAATGCAACCCTATCAGCCCAGGTACCTTCTTTTGAGTCTACTCCCTCTCCTTTTCGCTCCCCTCTCCCATTCACCCCTCATCCCCACCACCATCAGGATCACATCAATGCAACCCTATCAGCCCAGGTACCTTCTTTTGAGTCTACTCCCTCTCCTTTTCGCTCCCCTCTCCCATTCACCCCTCATCCCCACCACCATCAGGATCACATCAATGCCACCCTATCAGCCCAGGTACCTTCTTTTGAGTCTACTCCCTCTCCTTTTCGCTCCCCTCTCCCATTCACCCCTCATCCCCACCACCATCAGGATCACATCAATGCAACCCTATCAGCCCAGGTACCTTCTTTTGAGTCTACTCCCTCTCCTTTTCGCTCCCCTCTCCCATTCACCCCTCATCCCCACCACCATCAGGATCACATCAATGCCACCCTATCAGCCCAGGTACCTTCTTTTGAGTCTACTCCCTCTCCTTTTCGCTCCCCTCTCCCATTCACCCCTCATCCCCACCACCACCAGGATCACATCAATGCAACCCTATCAGCCCAGGTACCTTCTTTTGAGTCTAATCCCTCTCCTTTTCGCTCCCCTCTCCCATTCACCCCTCATCCCCACCACCATCAGGATCACATCAATGCAACCCTATCAGCCCAGGTACCTTCTTTTGAGTCTACTCCCTCTCCTTTTCGCTCCCCTCTCCCATTCACCCCTCATCCCCACCACCATCAGGATCACATCAATGCCACCCTATCAGCCCAGGTACCTCCTTTTGAGGCGTTTCAAACCCTCGAACCCCTTTCTTCCCCTCCCTTTTCTCCCCTTTTCCTCTTCACCCTCTTCCACACCACCATCAGGACAACATCAATGCCACGCTATCAGCCCAGGTACCTTCTTATCATCCCAACCCAGTGCCCCTCTCGTGTTTCCTTCCTTGCACTACTACCGGCCATTCTTTCTAAAAGAGTTCATTTACGACGCATCTTGGTCATTTCTCCACCTCCCACCTCCAACCCCACCCCACTCATCATCCTTTCGTTGCCAGCTCAGATCTTCTCGTCACGTCATTTACTTTCCCTACTAGTGAAGGCGCCACTAGACCTTTCCGTGTTTCACTCGGGTGTCATATTGCGTGTGACTGCATGGCATGGGATGGTATATCATGGCATGCGATGGCACATCATGGCATGGGATGGCACATCATGGCATGGGATGGCACATCATGGCATGGGATGGCACATCATGGCATGGGATGGCACATCATGGCATGGGATGGCACATCATGGCATGGGATGGCACATCATGGCATGCGATGGCACATCATGGCATGGGATGGCACATCATGGCATGCGATGGCACATCATGGCATGGGATGGCACATCATGGCATGGGATGGCACATCATGGCATGGGATGGCACATCATGGCATGGGATGGCACATCATGGCATGCGATGGCACATCATGGCATGCGATGGCACATCATGGCATGGGATGGCACATCATGGCATGCGATGGCACATCATGGCATGCGATGGCACATCATGGCATGGGATGGCACATCATGGTACAATATGAATGGCTGCCTTGTTTTTGTTGCTCGTTGTGGCAGCAAGAGCACAACGAGGAGGCGGCTGAAGCACTGGAGAAAGCCATACGAGCCCTCATGGTAAGGTGGTGGAGTGGAGAGCGAGTTGACTCTTGAGTTGGCTCAAAAGGCAGCTGAAGCACTGGAGAAAGCCTTACGAGCTCTCATGGTAAGTCCATAACTGCTAGCAAGTCGTGAGTCCATTGCGAGTTGACTCGAAAACGAATACATGTTAACAGCATGTACATCAAAATCTTTTATCACCTCACCTACATCCACCCTCCAACCACCTTCCTTCATCTGTATTTCCCTTCCTCCTCTTTCCTTTCTCGTTCCCTTCATCCTTCTTCCTCTTTTGCATGTCTTCACGCCTCTCCCCTTGTCTGTCGCATGCACATATACAGGTTGACAAGCCGCTTCCATCGCTAGCTGACGCTGCTGCCCGTGCTGCTTACGTGCATCTGCTGCCACCCCCGCCCTCAATTCTCTACCTTTCCTCTCTCCTGAAACTTCTGCTCCTCCTCTCCCATCGCTCCTCTTCCTCTCCTCTGTTTCCCATTGCATGCAGGTGGACAAGCCTCTGCCATCCCTAGCTGATGCTGCTGTCCGTGCTGCTTTCGACTGTTGAGACGTCCCAAGCCTTTCTCTCCTCTCATTCCCCTCGCTTGCATGCATGCAGGTGGACAAGCCTCTGCCATCCCTAGCTGATGCTGCTGTCCATGCTGCTTTCGACTGTTGAGACGTCCCAAGCCTTTCTCTCCTCTCATTCCCCTCGCTTGCATGCATGCAGGTGGACAAGCCTCTGCCATCCCTAGCTGATGCTGCTGTCCGTGCCGCTTTCGACTGTTGAGACGTCCCAAGCCTTTCTCTCCTCTCATTCCCCTCGCTTGCATGCATGCAGGTGGACAAGCCTCTGCCATCCCTAGCTGATGCTGCTGTCCGTGCTGCTTTCGACTGTTGAGACGTCCCAAGCCTTTCTCTCCTCTCATTCCCCTCGCTTGCATGCATGCAGGTCGACAAGCCTCTGCCATCCCTAGCAGACGCTGCTGTCCGTGCTGCCTTCGTGCATCTGCTGCTCCCCGCTCCCTCCAACCTCTCCTCCTCGTCCCCCTCCTTCTTCTCCCTCTCCTCCTCCAATGATTCACCGCCTCCTGTTTCCAACTCTCAAGCACCCAGTGCTTCCGCCACTGCTATCGATCCCACTGACCCGACTGCTGCTATTGGCCACACGGCTGCTTCGTCTATTGCGAATTTTGTCTCTGCTTCTGAGGATAGATTCTCCCCTGGGTTTTCTGTGGATGAGCATGCGGGGTGTGAGAGCTTCTGTGCGACCTGCATTCGCCCACTCAACTGTTCCCTCGTGCCCTCCTTTCCCTGCTCCTGCTGCCGCCGGCCCGACACGCCTGCTAATGTTGCTGCCTTGGATGGAGATTCGGAGGATGGTGGTGATGGTGGTGTTGGTGATAGTAGTGGTGGTGGCAGAGGTGTGACTATAACAGGAGCTCAGGGTGGGTCAGAGTCCTGTAAAGAGGAGGCCAGGGGTGGGGATAGTGCAGGGGGAGGGGGAGGAGTGGGGGAGGGGGGAGCGGGGGGGAGGGGGAGGAGGGGGAGAGGAGGGAGGAGAAAGGGAGGCGAGGAAACCGGCTTGTGTTGACGGCACGGCGGAGGGCCGATGGGTGAATTACACGTGGTGGGAGGCAGACGAGTGTGAGTACAGGTGAGAAGTAGGGCGGATGGTAGTTTACTTAGGATGAGTAGGCATGACATGAAAGGACGCAGTGCGAAGGGGATACCACACAGGGTGGCGGCAGTTCGATGGGTGAATCACATGTGGTGGAAGGCAGATGAGTGTGAGCACAGATGAGAAGAAGGGCGTATGAGAGTGTTTTATGGTGAGGGCATAGCGTGTTGATCAAATACTGCGACAGCACGTATTGAGACGCCACGTGTGTACAGTGAATTTTTGAGACGTCTAAAGAAATTCACTGTATCGGTGAAGGCATAGCGTGTTGAACGAGTATTGAGACCTGTTCGCCCCTCTTCCCTTCCATCCATCACACAGTGACCTCTTTGGTCCCAACCTCTTCAGCTGTCTCAAATGAAAGGTAGTCGGCTCACTACTTGGGCGACCAGACCAGTCAACCCCTTATTTTCTCTCCTCCCCTGTGCCTGTCTGCTCGCTTACCCTCCCTGCTCTCGCACTCCCCCCCTCTGTTCTCGCACTCCCCCCCTCTGCTCTCGCACTCCCCCCCTCTGCTCTCGCACTCCTCCCCTCTGCTCTCCCACTCCTCCCCTCTGCTCTCCCACTCCTCCCCTCTGCTCTCCCACTCCTCCCCTCTGCTCTCCCACTCCTCCCCTCTGCTCTCCCACTCCTCCCCTCTGCTCTCCCATCCCCCCCCTCTCCCCCATCAGTGACTTCTCTGGCCCTTGAGATGTTTGAGTGTCTCAAGGGCCAGTGGATTCACTTCTTTGGCAACCAGACCTCTCGAACGCTTTCCGCCTTTTTTGCCAAAAAGATGTCACCCCTCTCCACCACTCTCCACCCCTCTCCCGCCCCTTGTGCCAATCAGTGAGCTCTCTGGTCGGAACCTACACACGAGTGTCTCAAGGGCCAGCGGGTTCACTTCTTTGGAGACCAGACCTCTCAAACAAAGGGGCTGCAATCCACTTTACCCTCTCGCACCCCTCTCCACCCCTCTCCACCCTTCTCCCGCCCCTCTTCCCAATCAGTGACTTCTCTGGTCGGGACTTACACGAGTGCCTCAAGGGGCAGTGGATTCACTTTTTCGGCGACCAGACCTCTCGAACCCTCTCCACCTTCTTTGCCAAGAAGATGCGAATCAAAAAGGTCGGCATCAAACCTCCAGAGGAATTAAAGCCCCCTTCCCCATCTTCCTCCTCCTCTGCTTCACCCTCCTCCTCCTCTGCCTCCTCCTCCTCCTCCTCCTCCTCCTCCTCCTCCTCCTCCTCCTCCTCCTCCTCCTCCTCCTCCTCCTCCTCCTCCTCCTCCTCTTCCTCCTCCTCTCCCACTCCCACCGTGGATGAAGGTAGAGCTCTTATCCAGAAGGATGATCGAAGCTCTTATAACAGAAGAAGGCTTGCTTATAACGAGGACAATACTGCCAGCGAAGGCACTAGCAGCAGCAGCAACTCTATCGAAGGCTCTTCTAGTGAGAACATTGATAGTGACAGTAATGAGACAGCTAGTAACGAGGGTGACAGTACCGAGAGAGCTAGCACCGCAACTGATGGCAGTAACGAGGGAGCTAGTAATGAGGATGACAAGGCAGCAGGAGGAAGAGCAAGGGGATGGCAGCCCGTGGCAAGGATTGCCGATCGCCCCACTGTCTCGTACCTCTTTCGAGCAAAGATGGCCCACCAACGCGCCCCAGCTGTGAGTGATGGTTGTGGTATTGATGGCATTGAAGGTGTTAAAGGTATTGATGCTGATCGTGCTGGTGCTGCCGCTGCCGCTGCCGCTGCCGCTGCCGCAGCTGCTGCTGCCGCCGCTGCAGCTGCCGCCGCTGCTGCTGCTGCTGCTGCTACTGCTGCTGGTTCGATTTTGCCGATGCTGCCAGGACCATTAAGCGTACCGATTTCGCCCCTCTCTTGCTCGTCCACGCATTTGCTCCTCTCTCCAACCGCCCCCCATTTTCCCTTACCCATTTCCCTCCTGGCCCCCATCCTCCCACACCAACCAGCCAGGGGACCAACCAGAAGACAGACGTGAACAATTTCTTTTTCCGATGAGCTACAGGACCCTTTAGCGGATCGACCTTACCCCCCACTATCTCGACCCCTCTTCCTTCCTCACTTTCCCTCCCCACCTCCCTTCCCGCCTCCTCCTCCTCCCCGTCCATCCCCACTCTGATTCACCCACCAGCCAGGGGACCAACCAGAAGACAGACGTGAACGATTTCTATTTCCGATGAGCTACAGGACCCTTAAGCGTATCACCCTCACCCCTTTTTTTCTTCCCTCCTTGCCTCCCTCCTCCCCACCCTTTTCCTTTCCTGTCCTCCCCACACACAATCACCCACCAGCCAGGGGACCAACCAGAAGACGACGTTAACGACTTCTTTTTTGACGCGCTACAGGACCCTTTAGCGGATCGGCCGGATGTGCTTATAATGAGTATGGGCGCGCACGAGGTGTTTGGGTGGTCCGGGCGGCCGCGCGTGAAGCTAAACCTGACTGTTTATAAAGAGGATACGGAGGAGCTGCTGGGGAAGGTGCTGGGAAGCTTCCCGGAACAGCGGGTGATATGGTGGAAGGCGCATTATATCCAACAAGGTGAGCAATCGAGATGAAGGATTTTAAGCTCTTTAGAGGGCGCCTCAAAGGGCACCTCAATGAGTGCGTTGGTGGAAGCGGCTGTGCCGCTGTGGTACCTCACTGTTCAACATTCCGGCGACTTTTGAGTCGCCTCAAAAGTCACCTCGTTACAACTGCACACGACACTTTGACTTTTGAGGCGCCTCAAATGCCGCTGTGGTACCTGACTGTTCAACATTCCGGCGGTACCACAGCTGCTACCAACAACACGCTGCCACCTGCTTTGCTGCTAACTAATGGCCCACTTCCCCCCTCCATACCTTGTACTTCATTCCTGTTCCTCGCATGCCCCACTGGTATTGAGGGTATTTTCGAGACGTCTCAAAAATACCCTCAATACACGTGGCTTTGCTGCTAATGGCCCACTTCCCCCCTCCATACCTTGTACTTCATTCCTGTTCCTCGCATGCCCCACTGGCCCTTCATGTTTGAAAGTGCAGGCAAGATCAAGGGAGAGCAGTTATTCAACATTCGGCAATACGGTACCACAGCCGCTACCACCAACGCCACGCTGCCCCCCATGTTGCAGCCCACTTATACTTCCCTTTCCCTTCCATACCCTGACCCGTTGTGAGTGAATGCAGGTCTGATCAAGGGAGAGCAATTGTTCAACATCAGGCGATACCACAGCCGCTACCAACACCACATTGCAGATCACTTTGCTGCCTTGAGCTCATCAATCCCCCTCTTCCTCCCCACCCCTCACAGGCAAGATCAAGGGAGAGCAATAGTTCAGCATTCGTCAGTACCACAGCTGCTACCACCAACGCCACGCTGCTGCCCGCTTTGCTGCCTTGTTCTCAACACTCCCCTCTCTTCCCCCCCACCTTCCCGTTATCCCCCTTCACCCCTCTCTATCGGCAGGCAAGATCAAGGGAGAGCAATGTTCAACATTCGTCAATACCACAGCCGCTACCACCGCCATGCCGCCGCCCGCTTTGCCGCTCGCCTCATACTTGCATTCTCGCTTTCCGCTTTTCCCCTCCCTTTACAGGCAAGATCAAGGGAGAGCAATTGTTCAACATTCGGAGATACCACAGCCGTTACCAACGCCATGCTGCCTCCCGCTTTGCTGCCAACGCGCATTCGATTGCAGATTTCTATGCGACCACCAGGAGGAGGAGCGAGGCTTGTAGAGGGGATGGAGTGAACTATGACTCGGAAGTGGTTTGGCAACATGTGAAGGTCCTTGCGCATATGCTGTGTTACAAACATGCTAACAAAAGATAAGCATGCAATGGATTATATTTGTGTTTGTGTTAACAGGGTCCCCTACAACGACACAGCAGTGCTAAGGGAGTGAAATGGGGAAAAGGCCATAACTCCACTAGTGCATTCCTGCATGAACAGGCGCAGGGACACTTGAGGTTTACATGTCCCTGAGAGTGAGAGCACGGCACAGCACAGCATACTCCCAACTTCATCGTGTGCTTCTCGAGTTTTGAGTCGACTCAAAACTTGACTTATCACGCAGGGACACTTGAGGTTTACATGTCCCTGAGAACACAGCACAGCATACTCTCAACTTTTTCCTCACGTGTGCTTCTACCGGTACCGTATGCTGTGCTGTAGGCTGCTCTTTCGTGTCCCACACTACCCAGTCCTTGATGGGGGCGAGAGCTCGGCATTGGAGTGGGCAAGGGCTGTGAGCCAAGAGAGCTGTCATGTGCACTGCTGTGCCCTTGGGCATATGTGTCCATACCTTCAAAGCATCTCAACACTAGAGTTCACTTCTTTGATGGGGGCAAAGGATCGTCAATGGATGGGCGAAGGGCCATCATGAGCCAAGAGTGCTTTATATGCGCGCTGCTGTGCCATAGCCCTTATTTTCTTCTAGGCCATCTCAAGTTCTCAAAACGTACATTTATTTCTCGTCCAAACCAGCCGTCTTTGACGGGAGCGAAGGATCGGCGGTGGATGGGGCAAGGGCCGTGCGCCAAGAGCGTGCTTTCACGTGTGCTGCTGTGCTGTTGACCACGTCTCTTACAATGAGTGCATCCCAAAACACCAGCGTTTATTTCTCGTGTAGAACCGTCCAGTCCTTGATGGGAGCAAAGGATTGGTGGTGGATGGGGCAAGGGCCGTGGGCCCGTGGGCCAGGAGTGCTTTCATGTGCTGCTGTGCCATTGACCATCTCTCTTACACTGAATGCATCACCTGTGTTTATTTCTCGTCTAGAACCGTCCAATCCTTGATTGGGGCAAAGGATCGGCGGTGGATGGGGCAAGGGCCGTGGGCCAGGAGTGCTTCCACGTGCGCTGCTGTGCCGCAGCAGCCCATATCGCTTACAGTAAGTGCATCGCAACACCTGGGCTTATTTCTCGTCTAGAACAACCCAGTCCTTGATGGGGGCGAATGACTGACGATGGATGGGGCAAGGGCCGTGAGCCAGAAGAGTGGATTTCATGTGCACTGCTGTGCCGTAGCCATTATTCCTTGAAGGCATGTCATTGCAACACTTGTGCGTTCATTTCTAGTCTAGAACAGTCCAATCCTTGATTGGGGCAAAGGATCGGCGGTGGATGGGGCAAGGGCCGTGGGCCAGGAGTGCTTCCACGTGCGCTGCTGTGCCGCAGCAGCCCATATCGCTTACAGTAAGTGCATCGCAACACCTGGGCTTATTTCTCGTCTAGAACAACCCAGTCCTTGATGGGGGCGAATGACTGACGATGGATGGGGCAAGGGCCGTGAGCCAGAAGAGTGGATTTCATGTGCACTGCTGTGCCGTAGCCATTATTCCTTGAAGGCATGTCATTGCAACACTTGTGCGTTCATTTCTAGTCTAGAACAGTCCAGTCCTTGATTGGGGCGAAGGATCGGCGGTGGATGGGGCAAGGACCGTGAGCTAGGAGTGCTTTCATGTGCGCAGCTGTGCCGTAGCCCTTGTGCTGCTTGAAATCGTATGCTGGGTAGAGCCTGAAGAAGCAAGTGGGAGGGAACAGGGGAAATGGAACGGTGTGGTGTGGGATGATCGGTGTCGGTATCAGCCCATGATTTTTCGCGGCGCCTCATAAAGAGCCTGAAGAAGCAAGTGGGAGGGAACAGGGGAAACGGAATGGTGTGGTGTGGGCGGTGTCAGGATCAGCCCATGAGTCACCTCCGTGCCATGGGCCAATAGTACGTTCAAGTGCATTTACGCATGTGCTGCTGAGTTGTCTATTTTGAGGTGCCTAAAAAATAGACCAAGTCACCTCCGTGCCATGGGCAAATAGTGCGTTAAGTGCGTTCAAGTGCTTTCATGCATGTGCTGCTGAGCCGTAGCCCGTGTTTGGCATGGCATGGCATGGCATGGCATGGGATGGGATGGGATGGGATCACGGCAAGCAAGTAGCGCCACCAGCCATCTCTTGAGGCGCCTCAAAAGTGCTGCTGAGCCGTAGGCCTTGTGTGGCATGGCATGGCATGGCATGGCGTGAGATGGTATCAGGGTGAGCAAGTAGCACCACCAGCCATACCTGTCGAATTTGAGCATGAGTCGATCCCTTGTCACTTTGGCAAGGATGGAAGCAGCCGCGATGGCATAGCATGTGGCATCACCCTGCAAGCGCATCACATGGCAAGGAGGGAACAAAACGTTGTGAGACAGAACTTACCATGCCTGCAGCATTTCAGACAAATCAAACGCATGCGAGCTCATCGGGTATCATTCCATACCATACCAAGCCATGCCAAGCCATGCCATACCATACCATGCCATGCCATGCCATGCCATACCATGCCATGCGATGCCATGCCATGCCACGCCATGCCATGTACGGTACTGTACCATGCCGTACCACTCCGAATCATTACCTTAACAACCGCCTCAGCAGCACAGGGCAGGCCTGGAGGGACCCTGCTGCCATCCACAAGCACATAGTGAATGGAGGGCTGCTGGGGTCCCATGCCACTCCACACCGTATCAAACCATACAGTACCATACTTCACCCATCGCACACCATACCATACTGTACCACTCCATACCTTAACGGCCTCAGCAGCACACGGCAGTTCCTGAGGCACCCTGTTGCCATCCACAAGCACATAGTCGGGGGAGGGGCTGCTGGGATCCCATGCTACACAGTACCGTGCCGTGCAATGCCACACCACACTGTACCATTCCATACCTTGACAACGGCATCAGCTGCACAGGGCAACCCTGGAGGCACCCTGCTGCCGTCCACGAGCACATAGTCGGGGAGGGGCTGCTGAGATCCTCAACCACTTTGGCTATGCTGTTGCCCATTGCTAGCATTGTTGCTACCGCACCGCACTGTACCATACCGCACCGCTCCATACCTTGACAACAGCCTCGGCAGCACAGGGCAGCCCCTTAGGAACCCTGTTACCGTCCACTAGCACATAGTCAGGGGATGGACTTTGGGGGTCCTCAACCACTTTAGCAATAGTGTTTGCCATCGCTAGCATCGTTGCCTCAAAAATGTTGACCCTATCGATCTCCGCTGGCCCCACTATGTCCACCTGTAGAGCAGGGAAACGAGGAAGATGCAGGGCGGTACAGGAAAGAAGAAGACGCAGTGAGTCGGAAAACTCGGTTGTTGCTCATTGCTAGCATCGTTGCCTCAAGAACGTTGACCTTATCGATTCTCGCTGGCCCCACTATGTCCACCTGGAGGACGAGTTTTGAGTCGAGTCGACTCAAAACTCACCTGGAGGACACGCAACAGGGCGGCACAGGAAAGGAGTGGACGCACAGAGCACATCGTCAGAGGGGGGAGGGGCTCCTGGGGTCAGCTATGCTGTTGCTCATTGCTAGCATCGTTGCCTCAAAGAATGTTGAGCTTATCGATCTCTGCTGGCCCCACTATGTCCACCTGCAGAGCAGGAGGGATACGGGAAAGAAGAGAGGATATATTTGGGAATAATAACGTGTTCGGAAAGTGTAGACATGAAGCAAATTTTAGAAGAAAAAAAAAGAGGATTGGGAGAGAAATGAAAGAGTGCGAGGATCGAGAAAGAAAACAGGGAAATAGCAGGCGAATAATGAAGGTACAACTGAGAAAGAAATAGAGAGAGAAAAAGAACAGACAATAATAAAACCGCACACAATCACAGATTTCGTACAGCCTACAGCACCCAAAAAGTGCAGAGGTGACTTTTGAGTCGACTCAAGAGTCACCAGATTTCGTACAGCCTACAGCACCCAAATAGCGCAGCAGTATCATACAGCGTAAAAAATGTGGGGGTTCCCGATAATGGCATCGAATATCTCCTCTCTTTGCTTCTCTGTGAGCTTCTTGCTGTCTGCTAGACCTGCGACAGTGAGGGCAGTAGGGCAGTGGGGTGAGGCAGGAAGGGAAGCTTGGTTCGTAACTGTGAGTGATCCCTCTGCTTCTCTGTGAGCTTCTTGCTGTCCGCCAGACCTGCGACAGTGAGGGCAGTAGGGCAGTGGGGCAAGGAAGGCAGCACACACAGCACACACAGCACACACAGCACCCACCCACCTCTGTTCTCCAGCCCAGCATGCACGGCGCAAGCAGCCGCCACCACAGGCCCTGCCAGCGGCCCCACCACCAGCGGGATGCAGGTGACAGTCAGAACATACACACCACACTGCACCGCACAGCACCCACCCACCTGCAATCTCCAGCCCAGCATGCACGGCGCATGCAGCAGCCACCACAGGCCCTGCCAGCGACCCCACCACTAGCGGGATGCAGGTGACAGTCAGAACATACACACCACACCACACCACACCACACCACACTGCACCGCACAGCACCCACCCACCTGGGATCTCCAACCCAGCAGGCACGGCACAAGCAGCAGCCACCACGGGCCCTGCGAGCGGCCCTCGGCCCGCCTCATCCACCCCGTACACGTGCTTGAACCCCCGGGACCACAGGGATTGCTGGGGGATGGAGGGGGGAAAGGGAGGTGGGGGGAAAGAGGGGATAAAAGAATGTACCCTGCTACCGGCCCTCCCTTGCCCCACCTCATCCACCCCGTACACATGCTTGAACCCCTGGGACCACAGGGATTGCTGGGAGGAGAGCGGGATGGGGAGTGAAAGGGAGGGAGGGGAGAGGGGTTGACAGTGGTCCTGCCAGCGGCCCTCGCCCCGCCTCATCCACCCCATACACGTGCTTGAACTTGCGCGACCACAGGGATTGCTGGGGACGTGAAAGGAGGTAGCACACATATTGCAGCATAGCCAGGGTGCCAGCGGCCCTCGCCCCGCCTCATCCACCCCGTACAAGTGCTTCAATCCGCGCGACCACAGGGATTTCTGGGGGGAAAAGGTCGGGCAGAGTGGGGAAAGGGGGCGGGAAGGAGGAAACGAGTTAGAATGGGTCCTGCCAGAGACCCTCCCCCTCCCCCTCCCCCTCCCCCTCCCCCTCCCCCCTCCCCCTCCCCCTTCCCCTCCCCCTCCCCCTCCTCCCTTTCACCTCCCTCTCCCCCTCCCCCAGCCCTTCTCCCCCCACAGTCTCTCCTTACCTCCAGGGCCCTGTCCGGTCCTTGCGCCTTTCCTGGCCCCCCTGCTCTCTTCCCCCCTTGCTCGCCTCCTCTCTCCTTTCCCTTCCCCCCCTCCCCCCCTTCTTTCCTCCTTACCTCCAGGGCCCTGTCCGTTCCCTGCGCCTTTCCCGTCCCCCCTGCTCTCTTCCGCTTCAATTCGCCCGCACCAGCAGCAGCAGCAGCAGCAGCAGCCACCCCCCCTCTCCCCACCTTTTCCCCCTCTCCCTTTCCTCCTTACCTCCAGGGCCCTGTCCGGTCCCTGCGCCCTCCCTGCCCCCCCTGCTCTCTTCCGCTTCAATTCACCTGCACCGGCACCGGCAGCACCTGTGCTGGCAAAAGTTTCCCCTTCCTATCCCTACCCCGCCCCCTCTATCCCCCCTCTCCCTTTCCTCCTTACCTCCAGGGCCCTGTCCGGTACTTGCGTCTTCCCTGCCCCCACTGCTCGCTTCCGCTTCAACTCGCCGGCACCAGCAGCAGCTGCAGCAGCAGCAGCGCCCCTGGCTGTCACTGCTGCTGCCGAAGATCGTTTGGTTGCAGAGGATGGTTTCTTTCTCGACTGCTTACGCGCCTGAAAAGCAGCCGCACCGGCTTCTGCTGATGCTGCAGAGGGTTTGACGGAGGAGGAGAGCTCGTTGGTCGATTGCAAGGCAGCCAATCGCGAGGACCTTCGAGGCGCCATGGAGGAATATGATCGGTACGATGAACTTTGTCTGGTTAGGATGGACGAGTAAATTCCGACAGACGACCCGTAAGTCACGGGGAATGATACCCCTCGGCTCCAAAGAACGGATTGCCGAAGCGGGAGCAAGGCCTTGCACCACGAGGTCATTATAATCGGGTATGTTAGGTGTATTAACGACGCATGTAATGCTATTTCCTGCTACATTACTGTAAACAGTAAGTAACGTTCCGGAGCGTAAGAAGCGCAGGAGAAAGCAAGGTGCAACGGTAGCTCTTCATTCATGCAACGGTAGTCCAGTTTAACTTCTAGTAAAGATACAACCCATGCAAACCAAGGGATGATGCGCCAGAAGAAATGCTGCTGCCACACGACGCTAATCACCGCGCTCGCTGCGCATTCAAAACCTTGGTTGCGAGCGTGGCGACACGAACAGTAACGGCTGTCTCTGAAATCAATTATTCAAATTCTGGAACGTATCCAGCACAAAACACTTCAGAAACTTCAAGGCTAAACCCGTGAGATAACCCAGCCTTGATTTGCACCAAACGGAGGAGATAATTCGCTTAGGTTCGCAATCGGTTACCGAATGTAGCCGAAATTCAGCGGAAGATACTTGTGGAAACGCGCCCGCATAAGAGTTTTGCTCATGACGTGACTCGCTAAGAGGGGCTAGCAAGAAGAGTACCGTTCATTTCCATGTTAACTGCTCAAAAGCGTTCACATAATTATAAATTTTGAAAGTGTATTCACTTTCTAAAATTTTGTATTGTGATAGTGAAGCGATTGCCAACGCAGCAAAGGCAGCGTCGCATCGCTACTCGCCCTCTTTTGGCTACAAAAGAGGGGTTGGAGGCCATTTGGCCTCACCCACGTTCTTCTTTTCAGATTTTTAGTTTGAGTTCCGCTCAATCTCGTCCAATCTGGCGAAGACTCAGTCACTTCCACGTTTTACTGCTCCGACAACACTTCTCGCCGACATACTTAAGCACAACATTGCTTCAATGGCGCCCGTCAACAACGTTTCTATTCGCGAAGGAAACAAGACGGCGAACACCCCGGGCGCGCAGAACTCCGGAAGTCTGCCCGGGGCAACCACGCGTCGTGCGAAACGCCCTGCCGAGGAGGCACGCGAGGACCTCGCCACTGGCGTCGAAGTCCTGTTTGGCGCGACCTCCTCGGCGCCTTCTGAGGAGCTTCCTGCCGCGCGCGCTGCTTCCAAGCAGCCGCGCGACATGGCGAAAAAGACAGCCGCTGACGCGGCTGTCATCATCGCTTCGGCCGGCCAGGCCGGCCCCTCTGGCGCACGCGACAAGGAGCACGCGCCAGCGGCACCCTCGGCACCCTCGGCCCCTGCTGACGCCAGCCCCCTTGCCTTGACCACTGCGCAGGTCCAGGCACTACTGGCGATGTTACAGCAGCAAGCACCTGTAACTGCGGGGACTTCTAACAATGACGAAGTTACAGCATCTGCAAAAAATAACAAGAAGGAAGAAAATGTCGTCGCCCCTCGCCCGCCTAAGGCCGCTCGCGTCGAGAAGAACCCCGCTCCGGCACCCGCCGACGAAGACAGCGACGAGTCCGACGATGCTGCTGGTGAGGCTCCTCGCTGCCGCAATCCAATTTTTTCCAATGCCCATCGCCCCACACTCCCCTCGCTCGCTCCCTCAACCGCAACTACCACTTTCAACCGCAAGGGTGTGCGTGATCAGGCAGAGGTTTTCTCTGCCATCCAAGCCCACCTCAGGCTCATGGAGCTCCAGCTGCAGCAGGGTGACGCGGAAGGAGCGCTCGCCAACGTCACTCAAATCGAAACGCTCATTAACAAGCGCTTCGAGGTGCTCTTGGTGGCGGACGAGGCGGGTTTTGAAGCGGCCGACCGCTTCCAGCTCTACCAATCGAAGAGCGTGCTCACCTCCCGCTCCTACAAGCTAGCCGTGGCAGACGTGGCAGCATCGAAGCGTGCCCGCATGAGCTATAATCGCACCGTGCGGGGTAACGGCCTCGACAACGGGGAAATCGGCAACAAGGGTGCCGGACAAGGCTCATGCCAAAACAGGGCCTTCAAGGGCACCTGCTTTCGCTGTGGCCAGCCCGGGCACATGGCAAACACCTGCCCCATGGGGGGGCGCGGCGGACAAGGCCCCACACCCGTGGTGTGAGGAGTAACCAAGGGCGATGCCCCTTTCCCCGCTCGCCGAAAGAGCGTAGGGGATTGCACCAGGGGGTGCACGGCTGTGGAGCAGCCTAGGGACTCAAAGAGGACAGGGGACCCTTAGATTAAGGCCAGGGTGGCTGATGGATGGCTCTGAAATGTATTTCTTGTTATGAGAAAATCTTTAAAAAAAGGACTTGCAAGTTGTTTTTACTTCCTCATATTAAACCACGGGCTCTTGGTTGGAGCTGCACTTTGGAAATGAAGAGTTGGCAAGCCTACTCAAGGAATGTCAAAAGGAAAAGCCACAAACAATGGCAGCAAGAAGGAAAATCAAGAGGCAAAATCACGGGCAAGCTCGCTCAAAAAAAAAAAAAAAAAAAAAAAGAGGGATGGAAGGAGCGAGAGAGCAAGGTGACAAAGGGGTCCCAAAAGGAGGGACTGCCAAGGGGCAGATTCAGAGGTGCCAAAGCTCGGCACACCCACGCCAAGAATCACAAGAAAAGGCCAAGGAGGGGGGGAGAGAGAGAAAGAGAGTGGAGGAGGTTGAATGGTACGGTGGCACACATATGCCCACGCCTACCCAACCCATCACTAAGTTGGACAAAAGGTCGCCATCACTGAACGACGAGCTCTGGCCATCACCCCACACCGCAAAGCAAGACACGGAAAAGGAGAAAGAAAAAGAGACAAAGAGAGAGAGAGAGAGAGAGAGAGAGAGAGAGAGAGAGAGAGAGAGAGAGAGAGAGAGAGAGAGAGAGAGAGAGAGAAGGGAGAGGGGGGGGAGAAGGGCGAGGGGATTCTCGCACACTACTCGTAGCATATGGTACGTAGGACCATGATCGCTCCTTACTGATTAGCACACTAACGCCGTCTCCTGCATGCATCGTTTGGTACGCAGCCGAGAGCAACAAATGGGTAATGAGGGCAACCGACCCATACGAGTTCGCGGTGACAGACACAACTATATTCGTAATGCAAGGCCGACTGCGCCAAGCACTCCACTGGTGGTGCTCATGGTGCGATAGCAGCTTCATCTTATCCATCATCGCACGTGGCTACTGGTTCCCATGGAAGAACGAGCCCCCCACGCCCTTTGAATCGAAAAACCACGCCGGCACACAAGCACATGGTGATTTCACCCGAACCGCAGTCCAGGACCTCCTTCGCACGGGTGCCGCTGCAGAGGCACCCGATCGAGCCGCACTTTCATGTGTTAGCCCGCTCAACGTGGTCGAGCAACGCGAAAAATGTCGCCTCATACTGGATCTTCGGAAGGTCAACGAGCACCTGCGCGTGCCCAAGTTCAAATACAAAGGACTGCTTCGCGTGGCAGAGTTGATCAAGCCGAACGATTGGATGTTCTCCGTCGACCTCAAATCGGGGTATCACCATGTGGACATACACCCAACTTGCTGGCGATACCTTGGCTTCCAGTTCGACGGAGCATATTACTACTGCCGCTCCTTACCATTCGGGTTGGCCACAGCCCCGTTCGTCTTTACCCAACTTATCAAGCAGCTCGCTCGACGATGGCGTGCACGTGGATGGCGAGTGATCCCATACGTCGACGACATCTTAGTGCTATCCGAGTCAGCCCAACAAGCCCAATCGACATGCACCATGATCGTGCAAGACCTAAAGGACTCCGGTCTAGTGATCAACAAGAAGAAGTCCCAGCTGCTCCCCACCCAAGCACTCCGCTTCCTTGGCCTCGAGCTGGACACTCGAAGCTGCACATTCTCGGTGGGAGACGAACGTCGATCTCAACTAAAATCCACAATGGCGACGCTCATTACCGAGGGGCGTAGAGGTCGCCAAGTACACATCCGCCACGTCGCCCGAGTCACCGGCATGCTCGCATCAATGAGCCTCGCTCTGGGAGCAACTGCACGAGCCTTCAGCCACGAGCTGCTCCAAACCATCAACACCGCACCATCATGGAACTCCCGGATATCGCTATCATCAGAGGCAATTGACGAACTGGGCTTCTGGATGGAGCAATTCGACAAGTTCAATGGTGCCCCGTTCCATCAACCGCACCATTACGATGCGGTCATCCAGGTGGATGCTAGCGCACACAGTTGGGGCGCCACACTCGTCACGTTCCGCGGAGAGAGGAGCACAGCAAGCGCAAGCATGCCCTCACACTTGCCACCCACATCCAGCACCCGGCGGGAGCTGGAAGGTGTTTTGTGGTCACTACGCACCTTCATGCATCAGATCCAGGGTGGCCACACCCTAGTCCGTGTCGACAATCAAGGCGTCATGTTCATCCTACGCAAGGGCGGCTCAAGCACCACCGAGCTCACCCTCACCTGCAAAGAAATCATCTCTCTTTGTACGGAACACTCGGTTCGCTTGGCGATCGAATGGATCCCTCGCGAGTTGAACACCCATGCGGACGAGCTCTCCAAGCTGCAAGACCATGATGACTACACTCTGAAACAACCGTGGTTTTGCCTCCTTGAACGTCGTTGGGGGCCCCACTCCATCGACCTATTCGCAAACGCTCGCAACGCGTTGTTACCTCGCTTTTGCTCGAAGGTGCCCCATCCCAAGGCTGAAGCGGTCAACGCATTCTCGACGGATTGGAGGGGAGAGCACGGTTTCGCGTTCCCACCCCCCCACCTCATCCCAGCAACCCTTCGGCACGCGCAACGCACCCACGCAAAGATCACTCTTGTGATTCCACAATGGACAGGGGCTGCTTGGTGGCCCCTTGTGCAGCCATCTCC